CCCCGTGGGGACCTTCCATTGACTTCCATTCATGTGTTTTAGACTTTATAYCCTAACCCTGACCATATACCCTAAAACTAACCTAAACCTTGGTCTTAAACCTAATCCCACATCCATAATTTGCATTCATACCTGTGGGGACCGGGCATTGGTCCCCACGATGCACGTTTGGTCCCCACAAGGCTGCTTTTTCAGGAAAATGGTCCCCACGATGTACATACCCTCATTCAGATTTGTAGACCCTGTTCCCTGATCCTAACTGCATCTAGTCCTGGTGGGTCCTGATTCATGATCAGATCAATTTCAATGAAAGAGGTTCACAGAGACCAAGAGTCTCTGTGTGATCAAGAGTCCAGATCAGGTACCTGCGTGGGGTCTTGGGTGAGGGGTCTTGCTGAGGGAGTCCGGTCTGGAAGGRGAACATGGTCTTAGGAGAGCTGGGACTCATCTTGGAGGTGGAGGTCCTAGCAGGGGCCGAGCGGGGACTGGAGGGTCGGCCAAACGGAGATCGATGGAAGAAACTCTTGGTGGGGCTGGCAGACCGGCACAGAGCCCCCCCCTACAGGACAGGAGGACACTTTAACTTCAGCAGAGGACAGGGACAACTGTCCTGGTCCATAACTCATCATGGTCCTGAACCAGGATCTGTTAAGGTCCTGACTGATCTGGGTTTTACCTTTTTATGACTGTCTCTGTCAGCCCGACTCGGGTCTCCATCCAAGAAAGGCATGGTGAAGACACTCAGGTCCTGCAGAGACAGAGACAAGTTGTCATGTGGGTCAGCAGTGGATGTAACCATGGAAACATCAGACAGCTTCTCTCTGACACAACAATGAACAGAACCTTCAACAGGACCACCAGGCCCACCGGGGTCTTACCAGCAGCAGGATCAGGTCAGGTCTGAGATGTTGGTGTAAACAAAACAATTAAATCCCCAACATCAAACAATCAAAGGTGCTAATGGCTCCTCCCCCTCTGAAACTCCACCCTGAGGGTCATAAAACAGCTGCCGATGGCTCCTCCCCCTCTGAAACTCCACCCTGAGGGTCATAAAACAGCTGCCGATGGCTCCTCCCCCTCTGAAACTCCACCCTGAGGGTCATAAAACA